GAATCGTTAAACCCTAGTTTTCTGTTGACTTTTGGATTCTTACTAGCTCTGATAAATTGGGTTTTGGATTTTTGGTGGAGTTTTGAAAAATGGGTGAAGTTGCTGTGAGTGGTGGTGAGGGTATGGAGACTGTGAAGCTGGATAAGAACGTGGAGGATGGCGGAGGAGGCAGTGGTGGTGGTGATTCTGGGGAGGTGGTGAGCTGGGAGAGCAACCTGCCAAAAATGGTGCTCCGGGTTCTGCTGGTTGAAGCCGATGATTCGACGCGGCAGATCATCGCTGCGCTTCTCCGAAAATGCAGTTACAAAGGTCTGTTGCACTGTTTCCTTTTCTGGGTTTTGAAAATTTTGATTATTTGACTTAATTTTGGTAAAAAGTCCGGATCTTTTTCTAACTGAATGTTTTTGTTAAGGTAATTCTGGTAATTTAGAAATTTGGACAAGTTTGTAGAAAGTGTGGATCTTCATTTTCTAAAAATAGACTGTCTGTTTGGATTAAGCAGTTGTTGCAGTTGGGGATGGATTGAAGGCGTGGGAGGTCATAAAGAGGAAACATCATAAGATAAATCTTATATTAACAGAGACGGAGTTGCCGTCGATTTCCGGATTCGCGCTCCTTACGTTAGTCATGGAACACGACATGTGCAAGAACATACCTGTGATAAGTATGTTGCTTTTACCTAACAATGCGCTCTTTTCTTGTTAACTTTGTTGGTCTGAGAGTGGATTGCGAAAACCGACATTTTTCATGTGCTCCTTGCTACTTAATTGTTTGTCGGTGTGAAAATGGAACTCGAAACTAAAGTTTTCGGATTGCCGTGCAGTGATGTCCTCTGAGGATTCAACTAGCAGGGTCTTGAAATGCATGCTGAAAGGTGCAGCTGACTATCTCATTAAGCCTGTAAGGCGGAATGAGCTGCGTAACCTTTGGCAGCATGTTTGGAGAAGGCAAACTGTATGTTCCATTTTTCACTTTCCCCTTTCAGTAAATCTTTGTTGTTGATTCCTTGGCTTTGTTTAATTGCGCAGCAGTATTACAGTTTAATGATACATATCTTTTGTCTTGGTGTTTGCCTTCTATCAGCATGGCGGTGCACCGGTTCCACAAAACGTTAATGTTACACAGAATAAAGTTGAAGCCACTTGCGAGAACAATATAGCAAGTAAACATTCAAATGGTTACGCAGCTTCTACGCAGGAAAATAAGGAATGCAGTGAGAAAGGAAGTGAAGCCCAAGTAAGTATATTTGATAATTAAGTTGAAAATAAAGGGTTATAGGATAAATTTAGAGTTCTCTACTGTCTCGCAATTCTCGAATAGAACTTCAATGCTTTTTTCTTCTCCATAAAAGAGGTCACTGTAGCTCGAGAAAACTTTATACTTCTAGAATAGGTTGGCTCCATGGAATTTCATATACAAACTGCATCTCTTGTGCAGAGTTCTTGTACGACGCCTTACTTGGAAGCTGAGAGTGCGTACATGCAAAATATGCAGGATATTCCACAGCTAAAGTATGAGAGTGCTTCTAATTTAAGCAATACAGATATGAAAGGGCTCAAGGAATGTGCTAGACTGGACAACGAATCTGTTGTGCTTGAGAGTGAAGCAAAAGGTATGCCATATTTTCCTGCTTTCTCTCTATATTTGTTCGGAGTTTTTTTTCGTCTTTCAGTAATTTTAGAATCGGGTATCCAACAAGCCATTTGTTTGCAGAGAAGTCAGGTACATTTGGATCATATGCTGTACCTTTGAAGGAAGGTCATACCTCAACTGGATTAAGACTCAGAGAGGACAATGTTCAAGGTGAAGGTATGCAACTGGAAAGTTACAAAGGAGATGCTAATATCACTTCTGAAACTCACATCAGCCATTATGGACTGGATGAACCCTCCGGTGGAGCTATTGACTTTATTGGAACCTTTGGGAATTGGCCAAAATGCACTGCCGGACCCCCTGACAATAGAGACGATGGTACAGAGCACATGGGATCCACTCCACAACTGGAACTTTCTTTGAGAAGTTCTCTGGATGGTTCAAACAAGCAAATGAACGATGAAAGGCCTGTGCTGAACCATTCTGATGCTTCTGCCTTTTCATGGTGAGTGTTCGGGTCCCTGTTCTTAAACTTGAGCGATGATGAGAAAAAAATTAAAGCATGCGTCTGGGGTTTTCTTTTTTCTTTTGGCTTCCCTCGTTGTATGTCTAAAAATGCGGTTATCAATTTGTGAATGCCAATTTATAGTGATTTTGATCTGAATAATAAGGAATTATATACTAATAGTGGCAGCAGCTATTACAGCGGTAATTCTGTTGGCAGCAGCAAAGCTGATGGCAACAATACAATAATTATTAAAAAAATGGAATAACTTGGTGCTAGGGAGAATCTTATTACCCTATGTAAGAACGGAAACAAAAATGGAATGACTTGTAACTTGTTTAAACATTGAATGCAAACTAGTGATTAGATTGCTGAATTTTCTGATCAACCAAATGTTCTTTCATGCAGGTATAATAATAGCAAGACGTTGCAATCCTTTTTCCCAGCATTTCCCATCACTAAATCGGAGGTTGCAAGTAAATCCCATGATAGCCAGGAAAACAAGTCTACCTTGGTTTCCGGTCAAACTGAGGAAGCTGATTTATCGTTTCCAGGCTCTCAACTTGGGATGGTTCCTATCGCTGGGGCAATGTCTGATAATATTTGTGCTGCATACGGTCATTCTTTCCCATCCTTGTTTCATAGACAATCAGATTTAACCCCGACATGGAGTAGCAAATCGGCTTGCAATGGAGCACAATCCTCCTATCCTGTGAATTCCCCAAATCATTCCAATCCTGAAGTTTACCTCTCAGAAGAAGGTTGTCACCTGTCTGACAAGAGTACCTATAAATCTATTGGCCAGACCGTGCATGAGCAGAACAACCAGGAGCAAATGGAGGAACTGAGACCTGGTTCGCCTGCTACTGGGCAAAGTGGCTGTAGTAGTTTAGGCAATGCTGTTGGTAATGCTATTGGTCGCAGTGGACATGGAAGCAATTGTAGTAGCACTAATGGAAATGCCTCTCTGGCCGTGTCCGGTGAGATGGAGGCTTCTGAGAGTTTGAACGACAGTGGTCGTTCTGTTCATGAGGGATTTGGAGGAGCTGATCCTCTTCGTTCCAGCCAAAGGGAAGCAGCTCTGACCAAGTTCCGACTGAAGCGGAAAGATCGATGCTTTGAAAAAAAGGTATTATCATCGTCTTTAATCTTAGTAATCATCCTAATGTTACATTTGAGGGGTTTTGAAGAACACGTTGTTGTCGCCATGTACAAGGAAAGCTCGGTTTAACTACATTTGCAATTATTATTCTCCAACAAGCTTTAGTACTTCCTAACCAACTCGGAAACTTCCATTTAGATCGAATGTACCGGACACCTCTCACTTTTGAGCTGCTAATACCAAATCACCTAAATAACCCATGTCATAAAGGTGTTTCCAATCCTTACAGCTAATGTCTATACGCAGGTCAGATACCAAAGCCGGAAAATACTAGCAGAGCAGCGGCCCCGGGTGAAAGGTCAGTTTGTGCACCGAGCACAAACTGATGCTCGAACTGCCAATGCTGTTGGTTTGTGACACCGAGTTTTGGCAACGTACCTGCGACTGCAAGTTAGTAGAAAGCGTGTAGAAAGCGTGTGTGGTTGTGTGATGCAGGAATCTTTAGATACTGTTGAAGCTGTTGTGAAGAAGCACAGAAAGATAAAGTGGTTGCAGAAGACATGGGTTTTGGTTTTGGTTTTGGATATTAGAGGTGGTAGTGGTGTATATAGGGATGCCACCTTAAAAGTGTCACCATCTGCTCTGCATAATATATGGTTTTTGTATGAACCTCGGAGAGTGATTTGTAGTTAAGAGGTTTAATGGTATGATATTTTGCATTAATGTGTTGGGTATATAATTTATGAAGGGCGAGTGTGTTCTTTTCTTAATTACAGAGGTTAAATTGTTGTCACATGTTATTTTGTATCTAAAAGGTTAATATTTTCTTTAATTTGAGGTGTCTAATGTCTAAAGATTGTTGTTTTAAGGGTGTTTTTTTATTATTAAAGAATTAAAATGACATTACATGGCTGTATGCATGAATGAAATGTCCTTTTGGGCCACTAGTTTGGCTGCAAGTAAGAAGACATGTCTTGCATTATTAATGGCTCATGTTAGGGGGTAAGGACGTCAAGACACAAAAATAGTCCCATTTTAAACAGTGTATACAAGAGGTGTGGGCGGGGTATGGTTTGATTTGGTCTTGTAAACTAGTATAGAGACGAGCCAAATGCTCACTTCTAACAATATTAATATTGTTCTCAACTTGTTTATTATTATTTGCACAGTTCGACAGTTGTGGGGTTCTACCACAAAAGGCTTCGATGTTTGTTGAAGTGAGATTATGATAATTAAACTCTTATTTTCTTAGAGACACAGCCGATGCGGGAGATATTACCATGTCCTCTCACGTGGGATCCAATTATTGGGTCGCACGTGAGATCCACACATTGACAACCATGTGGAACCATGAGGACTCACCTAACACGCAGGGCCAAGGGGATCCACTCCTCATGTGGTAGTACGGACTTGCTCCCTGACTCTTATACCCTATCAATTATCAAGGAGCAGGCCTATATTGCCACATGATGAGTGGGTCCCTTGACTTCATATGGTTACTGATGTGTAGATCTCTCACGCGTGACCTTCTAATTGGATCCTATATGAGTGAGCGTGTTGAAATATCTCACGTCTACTGGTGCTTCATTCAATCCAGCATCGCCTATTTTAACTAATACATTGTCACGTGCATTTCATTATTAGAAAAATAAAATAAAAAAATACATAACAATACTGTATGCATCCGAATCGATTGGTTTTCATCTGTTTATATATATAATTAAGGGACATTATCAGAGTTGACAAAGTTTTCCCTACGTCGGATCCTGCCACATGGGTACACACACCACCTATCTTGTCCAAATTCCAATGGATCGTTGACTTAAATTTAAGTTGAGTTTGGTTCTCGGACTTGGAAGCAGAAATGAATCTTATGACATAATCATATACAAGTTTATCATTCATAATTGCTTGTTTTCATGAATTTTCAGATGGAACCACAAAATACTAAACATGTTCAGATTGTTGATATCCCTGGCGATGTTCCTGATGATGGGATTGGATCAAGCTCTCTGGATTCCATGGAACGTGCCACGGTTCTCACCGTAGATTGCACTGCAGAACAAGAAATTCCCAAGGTCATACTCTTAATGTCTATAGTTGTGTTGTTGTAATGGTTATTGAAGTAACTGTTGGATGCGAAGCACTTCATATTTTGTCTTCACATTCCTGAAATCTTACCCCCTCCCCTCTCATTATTTGGAAGGATGCATATTTGGTGTTTTGGATTAGGGATGTAGATTTGGTATATGTTTTGCCTTCATGACCTTTATAGTGAATGCTAGCTCATGTTTAATTTTGTTGTTTAGGGCTCGTTTGAGATTGCTTTTTTAAGCAGTAGTTTTGTTTGTTTTACTAGGAATACATTAAATTTTTTATCCAAAATTTAAGTGTTGCTTGAAAAAGTACTTGGAAGTGCTTCACGGAGAAACATGAGACGTGTTTCTTCGGAAGTGATCCATAAACGCTTTTAACATTTTCTGCTAAAAATGCAGTAGAAGTACTTTTCGTAGATTTATTGGAGAATGACGGGAAGGAAGATATGATATGTATTCTCACATAATTGTGTTCATGTTATTCATTTTGCATATATGCTTACAGCTACAGTATTAAGGCTTCCTTAATATAGTACTTATTGGGTTGTTTTTGTGAATTTTCATATGGCACCACAAAATACTCAACGTGCTCAGATCGCTAACATTTCTGACGATGTTCATCCTCACGAACATGCCACGTTTCGCTCCATAGAACTAAAATTTTCCGGGACTTTACTGTTACTGGCAGCGGTATTTGGTGTTGTCATAATATTTATGGATGTATGCCTCGGCATTTTTGCCAAAAGTTTAACAATACTAACTGTTGCAGCACATTTGTATGCTGATGTTGCCACGTTGGCCATCTCGGTGTGGGCAGTTTCTAGCTGGGAAGCCCCTCCCAGTGGATCGCCTTATTACCGGCGGTTTTTAAGGATTGAAATTCTCGGAGCCCTACTTTCCATCCAACTCATATGGCTGTTCTCTGGGATATTGGTGTATGAAGGCATAGTGAAAACCATCGACGACACAGCTGAGGTGAATGCCGTTATAATGTTTCCTGGTGGCCTAGTTTGTCTTGGGGGAAGTGTGATCGTGGCCTTACTTCTGGACCACATAACTGTTGAAGAACAAGATGGTGATTTTCGTCACAGCGACGAAATGACAATTTCTAGTACTCGTAATGATCGTAAACGATCACATGATCATGATGCTGCTGATCAGCGTCAAGCACTGTTGGATAAGCTTGCAAAAGACAGATATGAAAAGATAAGGCAGAGGTGCATGAAAGTACTCCGTGCACTAAAGGACTCCGTTCATGCTATTGCAGTACTGATTTGCGCGGCGTTCATTTTGTACGAGCCTGAGTGGAAGGTTTTTGATTTGATTTGCACCCTAATTTTTTCTGTGACTCTTCTGTGGAAGACTGTCAAGATGCTGCGTAATGTACTTAATGTCGTGGTGGGAAGGACACCTAGAGCGATTCATGTGAAGAGGACTTGAAAAGAAACTGTTGGAGATGGAGTATATGATGGATGGAAATTAACGAAATGCATATTTGGGCTGTCACAATGGGATAGCCCTTCTGGTTTGCAATGTGAAATCAGACAATGTGATGGATTATATCAGAGAGCTGGATATAGCTTCAGCAGTGTCAATCTGCAAATTGATTGTTAGTAGGTTTAAAGGACAAAGATGATTGATTATAGAAGCCTCCCTTCGTGTGCATTGCCAAGATGTTTTTCGAGGTTTCTCTCTTCGTCCCCAACTTTGATTTCTGTGTTTCCCCTTTCCGTTTTTCGTTTGTTGGTCTCTCTTTAATTGCACATTGGACAGTTCTTTTGTGGACAGAATGTTCGTTATTTATTAAAAGATGGATTGCCGATATTGTGTCAAACAAACGTCATAACATTAGTAGATAACATGTCAATAACTAAATATATCGATGTGTTATTGGTACAATAATTGACATTATTAATATAAAGATTCACTTTCTATATATGTAAATGATGTCTGGAAAAATGATGCCAGGGTTTACAATGAAGATTAAGCAAGAAGTACAGGCCTTTTTATGCTAATTTCTTTTCAATGGATCTTCCCCCACTTTCCATCTAAGGACGACGTGTTCTCTACGATACATGCAGATAGCGATATTCGAAAGTTCCAACGGCCAAGAATTCTGACGTATACTATGCATGCTCCGAGGCATACTCGAAAAATCGATACAATACTTTCTTTGCAATGTTTGCATTGTTCTTTGTCTTCAAAAAGGTAAGAAATTTTGTGTACGTAATGGTAATGAAACCAATTTGAATCTTACTACTACTTGGATCTCCAAGTTTTATTGGTTGAAGCTTACCCATAATACTACTCTCAACACACAAAGAGATTATTTTTCCAAGCTCCAACGTTAAACCTGCCTTCTCCTTATTATCTGGTCTTCTTGGTACCCAAAACAAAAACCTAGAATTCAGAACTTCTTGTGAGTTTTTATATCTTTGCGGGGAGGAAAAAAAAGAAAGATCTAAACTGGGTTGTAGCTTTTACTAAAATTGGTTTGGTTTAGACTGTTGGTTTAACATGATCTTCGTTTGAGGAACTGTAGGAATCCTAATTTATTTCAAGGAAAACTAATGAAAAGGGCTTGAAAACTTTGAGTTTTAAAGTTCCCTTATTTCAATTGTTTTTGGGTTGTATTCTTGTCGATCCGACAGGTTGTTGTGTTGTAGCACTCCTGCCATCTTAGGTGTCACTGAAAATATGTTCACATTGTGACATATCATGTGATGACTGAGACAAATCACATGAAATTATTATATTCTCGATTAGAATAGACATTTGTACCTGTGTTGATTGTCCTAATTTTTGGGGCCATGCTTGTTTGTCAATTTGTTGTTAAATTAGAATCTTAATGCCTGAAGAAAATATGTGAGGTGTGAAGAGATGCTACCCTTATCCACCGAACTAAGAATGCAATAGAAGACCCAAAATTCACAAGAAAAAAAAAGACCAAAAATCCCCAATATTTTGTTTTTAGTTCTAACAATGATTTTGTCATGTGAATGCTAATAAGGTTTGGTTAATTATTTAATTATGCACATAACCTACACAATATGTTTGTATATATATGGCATATGGTAAGAATACATTACTGTCGCATGTATAATATAATATAAAATGTTTTTCAGCACTCTTCAGAAAAAAAAAAAAAAAAAGAGCAAATTTTAAACTTCTTATCTTATATGTAGCATTTGTTACACGTTGACGATGTCAACATATTGTATACAAAATACAAGAGATCTCACTTAAGACAATGCCAACCAATGTCATCAATAATTTATTCATTATCCATTGATGCAAGGCGATCTCACAAGCGATTATTGTGTATTTGCATGCAAAACTCAAAAGAAAATAATAGTGTAAATTACAACTCGTGTTGAGCTGTTGACAACTATAAATAGTAACTCTCCCAAACTCATACATATTACATTATTGTAAATATGGATGCCCATGGCTTTGCTCGATGCAAGTTACCAACAAAAGTATGTGTAGGTGAATTATAATGAACTAGCCTTCATGCACTCACTCATGCGCATGTAGAAGATATTTTTTAAATCACGGCGTGCTACACGTGACTTACATGTTTTAAATGTATTTATATGCGTAAATTGACAAAAGGAAAGTCAAATATTTAAAGTAAATGAATAATCTTATATCATGCTAGAAGAAACCCTCATAAACCAATTAAAGCAATTGAATTCACATAATAAAATCGTCTCTATAGAATTTACATTAAGAATAGATAAAATAATATTTTATAAACAATTGATTGAATCACATTATTGCTAGTCTATTGTGAGGCTAAGCCTACCCCCTCCTCCTTAGTGTAGATAATATCGTTTGTTAAAAAAATAATTATTTGACAACTAATTTAATCACATTATTATCCGTATGTGAAAGACTTTTTTTATAACCGGCATTACACGCCTCTTAAGATGTTTTGAACGTGTTTAAAAATAGAGAAAATAATATTTAATAAACAACTGATTGAATCACATTATTACTAACTCACTGTGAAGCTAAGCCCACTCCCTCCCCTTTAGTGTAGATAATATTGTTTGTTAAAAAAAAAATCATTTGACAACTAATTTAATCACATTATTATCCGCGTGTGAAAGACCTTTTTTATAACTGGCATTACACACCTCTTAAGATGTTTTGAACGTGTTTAAAAATAGAGAAATTGAATCATATTATTGCTAGCCTATTATGAGGTACTAATAAAAAAAACACAAAAAATTTATTATTAAAAAATACTGTTAAAATGACGAAAATACCCCTACTTTATTTGATGCATTATTTTGGGATGCCTTTGAAGTTTTTGGTCTTAGGGGCATTTTTGTCCAATTATTTTTGTTGAAGCTTGATGACACCAAAATCACTATTCACTTTTCCATTGGCTTTATATATACTAGCCTTCATGTGCATTTTTTGAATCACGGTGTGGTACGCGCGATTTATACGTTTTAAATGTATTATATGCGTAAATTGACAAAAGGAAAGTCAAATATTTGAATTAAATGAATAATTTTAGATTATGCTAGAAGAAACCCCTCATAAACCAATTAAAACAGCTGAATTCACATAATAAAACCGGTCTCTATAGAATTTACATTAAGAATAAAGAAAATAATATTTAATAGACAATTGATTGAATCACATTATTGCTAACGTATTGTGAGGCTAAGCCCACATCCTTCCCCCTTAATGTAGATAACATTGTTTATTAAAAAAAAAAACAATCATTTAACAATTAATTTAATCACATTATTATCCGTGTGCAAAAAACTATTGACAACTTATTTAATCACATTGTAATTTGCTTGCGAAAAACCTTTTGTATTCTTTTCTCTCTTTCTACTTATATTTATATTATATTTTATGATAATCAAATGATCAAATTACCCCTGCATTATTAGGCTGCTTTTGGATTTATTTTGTTAAGGGACAATTTTATCCTAATAATTTTGTCGAATGACGTGACCCCAAATTTTTGTCGGCATGCGTAAACCTCCGAGATAGATATATGGGATTAAGTTAAATGAAGCATGGTCAAAATTTGAATTTAAAATCTCCCACATCAAATCATAATTGTAGGACGTGGCCCCTTCGTTTTTATAGAGAAAGTTAAGGATTGAGAGGAACACCTCCTCAAGATACTTTGGCTTCGTGGCCCATAAAAACAACTTTATGTTTGGTGATAGAAATAGTTTATATTATAAATTATTCTATAAAAATTATTTTTATAAAAAAATTAATTAAAATAAGATCGTTTAGTCATCAAAATTTTACAAAACATATGGACAAATTTGATAAAAATATTTTTCATTTAATTGATTAAATAATCTTGATTTTAATTAATTAGGAGGGGATGTGAAACAAGGATTGCTGATCAAATCATAACCAACACCATTAATTAAGGTTTCTACTTGCTACAATCCAAGAATACCAATCTAATATATTTCTTATATAACAATCAATATTCAGAGTAAACCACCATCCTCGAACACTAATATAATAAATTTAAAATTTCTATGAATTTTTATTAGAAAAATAAGTAAATCTGTCCGTTTATATGTGTCGTGAACAAAGTGGAAGAATCTTGCCACGCCCTCGAGAAACTGAGGCCCACGTCACATCTTCTACTACTCCAAGTCGGAAAAGGCAACCGGATCAACTGATTCAGACATTTAAATTTTCATCAAACGATAAAAAATTATTATAATTTAAAAAAAATTAAAACAAGTGAGCCATTGAATGAAAATTTAAAGATCCGAATCACTTGATCCGGTGACCATTCCCTCCAAGTCTCCAACTGCAATACGGAGTTTGTTTGACTCAAGTTTTGTATTTGCTCTGTTCTCTATCTCTCTCTCTCTCTCTCCCTCCATACTTGTAGTTGTACAAAGCCAACAAGTCTTCTGGTCACTTGGAACATCTGGTGAGGGCTATAATTGTAGTTTCATTGATGCAGTTGAATTTGATGACGCCCTCCAAAGCTCTTCCATTTGAGACAAAGGCTTCCCACCTCCCAAAATTTTCCAAAGATAAAAAAGCTCTCAGCACTGCCAGTAGGCAGTAGCATCTGCACTTGAAACACAGAGAGAGCCTTTTGCTGGTGGAATGCCAAAGTGCCTAAAACTAAAATGGTACATTCTTTTAATTCCTTAATTCTATTTATATATGTGTGTGTGTGTGTGTGTAATTTTCTATTTTTTGTGAATATTCTTCACTTTCTTGAAATGGTTTGATGGTGTGATGGGGTTTTTCACCAAAGATAGCTAATGGGGTTCTTTTATTTCCTCATTTCTTGTATTGTTTTGAAAATTTGAAATGATAGCATTTGTTAATCTGTCTTTTGGGTTGTGATTTCCAGATTTTACTTTGATGTTGTTCATATGTCTGATTGGTGTCTGCTTAGAGTCTTCAGACAATAGTGATTTATCCAAGGCCTTTGGTAATCTGAATGTTATGGACTAGTAGCATTCATGTTTGCAGTACATCCGCAGCAGCAACTTTGTCAATTTGATGAATAAATCAGGTCATATAGTTTGTTTTTGGTTCCGAGTTGATGCTACGAAGTCCTCCTAGAAACCGGTCTAGACAATCTAAGACGATTTTTTAAACTTGCTCCTATAGTTTTTGGTTTGGTTAAATTGCATTCCTGATATTTCATGGATTGTGAGTTTTCCGGTCCGATGATGAAAATGCAACTATAGCTGGTGAATTTGAGTACAAATGAGCTTCACTGGTCTATTGAACTACGTTAGGGCTGTGAGAAAATGGGATTTGGGGAGAAATTGCATCTTTTTTACATTCTTGGCTATTTCAATTTTTTTTTTAATGTAAAAATTAGGACGAAGAGATGGCTTCGGAAGCTACTATCAGTTAGAAATTTTATGACCTTGATCCTCAGAAAAGTATTTTGGCAGGTTTTTCTGCCTCCTGAGATTGCTAAGGACAGTAGATACTAGATAGTGTGATCAGACCACTGCTGAAGAAATGAAAACTATGGATCAGAAACCGTGTTTTTGCTTTCAGGAAGCTCGTAAACATTTTGACCTAGGAAGTTTAACATGCTTTTGTTATGTTTCGAAAAGTAGGGATATTGATAAAGATATAGTTTGTAATTCTGGGGTTATGAGGTTCTAGAAATCTGTCTCTACGAAGGATACTATGTGTCCGTCAAAGAGCGTTTTGTATTCTCTAGGATGTCTCATTACTCATTAGGTAGGAATTCCAACGGTTGAATGTTGAAGCCTATAATTGTAGTGGCTGCAAACGTCGTAAGTCAAAGCCGGAAAAATGATAGATGAAGTCTTTGAAGAATTCCTTACGAATCTTTCCTTTCACGTCTTTCACTGGTTTTTCAATAGATTGTGTTATTCTTGGTAAAAAAACTTCATCGTACTACTGTGTTCGAAAGAGATTTGAGGTCACAGGCAAGTGTAATTATTTACAGAATTGGATACACCTCATTTGGTCTGTGCTAATCAATGAACTTCTTTGTTGGCTCATGAAATTGAAGTAATGGAACCATATTGTGGTTTTTTCTTTGTGCAAATTCAGAACATATTTTGCATACTGGCTGCACTAAGCATTCACTCATATTACTTGTGTTCTTTTTGTGGATTGTCAGATGGAACCACAAAATAATCAACATGCACAGGTTATTGAAATCCATCGAGATGTTCACGATCGTGAAACGAGTAATAGTGGGAGTAAGATTTGTGGGGAAGCACCATGTGGACTTGCGGATGTTGGATCCAACTCTAAGATGCCAAAGAACGATCAGCCTCCATGCGCAAGCTTTTAATAGCAGTGGTACTTTGTGTTCTGTTCATGGCTGTTGAGGTGGTTGGTGGCATTGAAGCCAATAGTTTAGCAATATTGACAGATGCAGCACATTTGCTTTCGGATGTTGCAGCATTTGCCATCTCCTTGTTCTCTTTGTGGGCGGCTGGCTGGGAAGCCACTCCCCGTCAGTCTTACGGGTTTTTTAGGATTGAAATTCTTGGTGCCCTGGTTTCCATCCAGCTCATATGGTTGCTTGCCGGGATATTGGTATATGAAGCCATAGTTAGAATGATACATGACACAGGTGAGGTGAATGGATTTCTAATGTTTCTCGTTGCCGCATTTGGTCTAGTGGTTAATATAGCTATGGCCATACTGTTAGGCCATGATCATGGGCATGGACATGGACATGATCACGGTGATCACAGTCACGGAATGACTATTTCTGCTCATCACCATCACCACGATCATGCTCACGAGAAACACTCGCATGGTCATGATCATGAGGTGCACTCACATGATCATGAGCACCCTCACACTCATGAAGATGATCATGAACACCACCATGCCGACAAGGATCTTGCTGAGCCACTGTTGGATAAGCCGAAAGATGGGCAAGTAGAGAAGAAGCAAAGGAACATAAATCTACAGGGTGCTTATCTCCATGTGCTTGGAGACTCGGTACAAAGTATTGGGGTAATGATCGGCGGGGCAATCATATGGGCCAAGCCGGAGTGGAAGATAGTTGATTTGATCTGCACCCTAATTTTTTCGGTCATTGTTCTGGGGACAACTATTAAGATGATGCGGAACATTCTTGATGTCCTGATGGAGAGCACGCCGAGAGAGATTGATGCAACGAGACTTGAAACCGGACTGTTGGAGATGGAGGAAGTGGTAGCAGTCCACGAGCTGCATATATGGGCTATCACAGTGGGGAAAGTCCTGCTGGCTTGCCATGTGAAAGTTAGACCAGAAGCAAATGCAGACATGGTGCTGGAGGACGTAATAGCTTATATCAGAAGGGAGTATAACATCAGCCATGTCACGATCCAAATCGAGCGTTAGCTGTCTTTCGCAAGGGCAAGATGATAGGGGAAGAATTGATTATGTATATGGCTGCATATACTCTTCTTAGAAGGGTTTTAGATTTTTTTTATATCAAGATTGTGTTATTTAGGCAGGAAATTACTTTCATTTCCTCCCTATTATCTATAAAGATGTATGTTTGGTGCAAAGCTCTTGGTAGTTTGAATTGAAGATGTAGATTCCAATAGCAGAGCCTATAATTATTTTGTAGGCTGGTTAAGCTAAAATCAAATACTTAAATATTTTTTGTTACCTATATAAAGTTATATAATAATACACTTGAAACTTTCAAATTAGACAACATTAACACAATTTTATATGATAAATTATATTCCTACCAAATCTATCAAAAAAATATATTCAATTCAAAATTAAAATTTCAAGCACAGACTCTTAAATTCAAAAAATAAACAAATAAACTAATTAAGAATAAAATGGTAAAAAACTTACTAATTGGCGAGAGAAATCAGTGGGACTTTCACACTTGCAGACTGTCTTTGTGGATTGTGAATTTGTAGCGTTTTGGAAAAAATAGCTGTACTGTTCTAGATGTGCCTTCAGAAAATTGAATAGTTAAAAGCCAAACTTAAAAGCTAACATTTACTCCTAAAAAAATGTATAAGTACTTATTTAAATGAATAAAATAATAAAACCTAATAATTACTTCCTAGGTGTGAGAACTCATATTTTTAATTTATATATATATAACCCTAGTGGTATAGATATCTACAGTTTCACGCATTTGCATTAGGTTAGTACATTCTACATAGCCATGTGTCAATTCCATAAGCGTTCCATCTGTTTTCTTTGTCCCATTCTGGATGGTTGTCAAGTTAATCTTATTTCTATATTTATATTTTACGTTACCATTGTTGTCAAATTTAGAGTAGTTGATATAGGCATACATATCCTATCTTGGTGGCTTTCGTATTAGGAGGACACAAGTGCAACAGATGTCTTTGGCAAGTTAGAGATAACACCATCCAATCATTCACTCCAATCTTATTTGCATAGTCATTACATTAGAGCTTGAGGTTGCTACGCGTGTACCATTCATCCCCTTCAAGTGACACATATTCTACTACCCTAACATGTGTCAATCTCTCATACCCTTATCTAATGATAGTAGACACCTCCTGCTATACTTGCCGACTTTCTACATCTATAAATAGCACCCCACCTTTCACTTTTATTCAGACAATTCCTCCAAATCTTTATATCTTGTTCGTTGCATGTAGTTTTCATGCACAGTACGTTGGTTTGTATAATATATATTTATATATAGTGAGAGAGATTAGTGTTTGTACCATACTTAGGATCTTTGTATTTAGATTTCGCATAAATACTTGGAAGACTCAAATGTAATTATGTAATAAATGAAAGGGTAAATATGTAAAAAGGGGAGGAGCCCTTAGTCTATAAATGGGCTTCTTCACCCTCACAATCCAAAAGCTCAAAGATTGAGGGCAGGGCCTCACTCTCACCCTCAGAAGCTCTGATCCTCACATACAGAAGCTTTTTCTCTCTCACAATCCTCTCATAAACAGAGAAATACAATATCAGTGTGGACGTAACCCAAACATTAGGGTGAACCACGATACATCTTGTGTTCTTTATTTTCTTGTAGATTCACGGTCGGATTTACGTTGTTCCAAGACCCCTCCGGTTTTGTGCATCAACATTTGGCGTCGTCTGTGGGAAACGACACGAAAAGCTATGTCGATTCTCTCTCAATTTTTCATCTCACCATCGTGAAACCTTCACAACCTCACCACTGTCCACCGTGAATCTGCAGAAACCAAGAACCAAATCGACAAACCCACCCCAAAAAACCAAGATATGTCAACTGGGTGTGCTTTATTGTTCTCAAATTTTGAAGGAAAATCAAATCATCATTGTCTTCCCCAAATCCGAAACCCTTTTAGAACCCTAGATGGGCCTGCTGAAGGCAGAAATCGCTAAGAAACGGCAGAGACTCGAAGAAGACACCGGTGGCAAGCGATTCTTCAAACGCTTCGAGATCGAGCAGAAGCAAATCCAGAAGCTTTAGGAGCAAGAGAAATGCGAATTAGAAGCCAAAGCCCAGCGCCAAGTCGCCGCCTTCAACTCCGCCTCCGCAAGCGGCTCTTCCGTTGCTTTCACATACAAAACCCATTGCCTCATTCTCCACACCCTCACTCCTAGTAATGAAGGACCGGCCTCCTTCCTCGTACAGCTCCATCTACGTCCATCCCCACCACCACCTCTGCTCTGTCATCACCACCCCCAATTATACCTCCCTTGCAATCGGCTCTAAGCTTCATGAAACCAGACTGTTGCTGATGGCAGATGCTGCTACTCTCAACCGGAGGAGCAGCACAAGTGGTGCTCTGGAGTACAACTAGACTCAACAACAGCAAGCGCAGTTGCATGTTCCGAAGCTTCAGCAACCTTCAGCTTAAGACGACGACATTCCTGAAGAAGGCTCTAATCGTGAAGCTGAGCTGTAGTAACATTAGGTGAGATTTTTATATGTGAATTGTGAAATTCGTGTGTTTACTAAAGTGTGAATTGGTAATTGGGTGTTTCAAGCTGGAGAAAGCTTCGATCGAGAAGGACCTCCAGGCCACATTGAGCAACGGTGAAGAGTTAGGTAACAAGGAGGCGTTCCTTCAACAGCACTCGCTGCAACCGGGCCACGGATCAAGGCTTTTACAAGATTACAGGGAAGAAGTGTGAGATCAGGGCTGAAGAATCCAAAGCTGTGATTGGGAAGAAGAGGATTCTGACCTTTTACGAAGGTCGTGTACCGAAAGCAAAGAAGACCGATTGGGTAGTCCATGAGTATTATCTCACAAAAATTGAGGTGGGGTCTAGATCCACCAAGCAGACGACGTCAAGGACAGGAATGTCCAGTGCGTCTTCCTCGGCTGCTCCGACGTCGGAAAAGGAACCTACACCTCCCACCTCTGCCACTTCCTCGGCGTCCCTCACATCGCCACCAGCGATCTTGTCCACGACAAGCTGGCTGCCTCCGGCCCCTTCACTCTTTAGCTTGTGGAGGTTGTGAATCCCGATAAATGTTATGAACCCCACTTGCCTTGTCTTGCTGTCTGGTCTCAGAAGCTCTAGCCAAAACTGTATTGATTGGTTTCAAACATAATGAATAGGGTAACACCACCGACAACGAAAATGGTGAGAATGTGCTCGAGTCGAAGGACCCCATACTCAAGAAATCAGAGGCGTAGTGAAAAAAAAAGAGAAAAGAAGAAAAAGAAACGAAAGCAAAAGCAGAAAGCAGAAAGAAAAGCAGAAAAAACCGAAAAAAAAAGCAGAAAGCAAAATGGAGGCTTTCCTCTGCGAGAGCACATGGGGACACTGCAAAAGCAAGGAATAAACACCCCACCATAATGATGTGATTTACTTTTCTTGTTTTTGAATAATGTGATTTATTTTTCTTATCTTTCAGAGACATCTGTATAACCCCATCAGAGGGTAATTATAAAAAAAAAAAAAAACGGCAAGCCTAAAATAATGGGCTGAAATGTTATGTGGAGGGCGAAGGCCCATCTGCCTAAAAGAGCCAGGCCTTCTATTATCACCAACTAGGTGATCAAAAGTACGCCCAATACTCCAAAATTATTCGGCACCCTGCTGCTATTATCACCAACCAGGTGATCAAAAGTACGTCCAGTACTCCAAAATTATACATGAGCATCACTCATGTCAATCATACATAAACATTCATAAGCATCACTCATGTCAATCATACATAAACATTCATGTCAACATTCATGAGCATCACTCATGTCAACATCCATGAGTATCATTCATGTCAATCAACATAAACATTCATGAGCATCACTCATGTCAATCAGCTTCAAAAGCTTCATTTACAGAGCTTTAGCTTCGAGAGTTCCAGCTTTGAATGCTTCATTTACAGAGCTCTAGCTTCAAAGCTTCACTTGCAAAGCTTCACCTACAAAGCTTCAGTGCAGGGTATACAAATACCGCCTCCGAACAACCACCACTTTGGCCCATACATGGATTCAATCTGAAGTCTCCAGCCAACATACCCTATTGACTGAAGACTTGGGGGACTACATTATGTACCATATATTGGGCCTCAACTGGGCCTCATGAAAAATACTTTGGGGACTCTAACCCATTATTCATGTACTGAGTAGCGAGCCCTTATTTTATAAAAGGGACTCCCTCACCTTCATTAGAGAGCATCGCCGCTAGCTGAGCAACTGCCTTGCCGCGAGTATCACTCATAACCCATCACTTATGTATTGAGGAGTGAGCCCTTATTCTATAAAAGGGATTCCCTCACCATCATTAAAGAGCATCGCCATCTGCTGAGCAACCGTCTCGCCGCGAGCATCAACTTTAGCCCATCATTTATGTATTCTATAAAATGGACTCCCTCACCTTCAACACCACAAGCCGAGCCAACCAAAGGCAACATAAGCCACAAGCCGAGCAGCCTCGCAACATGTGTTACTTCTTGTTGAGCATCATTTTACATTGAGCACCGCCTCATATCGAGTATTTAGTTCTAGACAACATCTAGTTACTTCGGCCCACACATGGACTGAATTTCAAGTCTCCAGCCAAAAGACTCTCTTGACTGAAGACTTGGGGGACTACTATTTGTACTATACTTAGGGCCTCCGTATTTAGATCTCGTATAAATACTCGGGGGAGTCAAATGTAATTATGTAATAAATGAAGGGGCAAATATGTAAAAAGAGGAGGAGCCTTTAGTCTATAAAAGGGCCTCCTTACCCTCACAATCCAAAAGCTCGGAGATCTCTCACCATCAGAAGCTATGATCCTCACATACAGAAGCTCTATCTCTTACACAATCCTTTCACAAACAGGGAAATATCAGTGTGGACGTAGCCCAAACATTGGGGTGAACCATGATACATCTTGTGTTCTTTACTTTCTTGTAGATTCACGGTTAGATTTACGTTGTTCCAAGACCCCTCCGGTTTTATGCATCAACAATTAGAAAAGATGTGTGGTAGAAATACATAGTATTTGGACGTGATCAAGGAATTTATTCAAGTACGTGGAGTCTAGCTATTGCGGTAGTGACGTGAATCTTCGTTTTAGCTTTGGGATCAAGGTATTGGTGAGGAATATTGCTTGCTTGGCTTGGAGACCAGGTAGGGGGATCCTCACTTACCGTAGTTATGA